GAATCGCCGAGATCCGTGCCGGGAGCAATGACACAGCAACAAAGATAGATCATGCCAACATCTTTTACGAAGTCATCCACAGCGACCTCCCAGACTCAGAAAAGACGGATACTCGGCTTGGAGACGAGGCACAGCTGATGGTTGCAGCAGGCCTTATCACGACTTCTTGGGCTCTCGCGGTGGCCGCATTCCACTTTGCGTGTAAGCCAGACATTCCGGCACGGATGCGGGCAGAGCTTGCTGCCGCTGGGTGGCCCAGTGGATGGCAGAAACTCGAGAAGTTGCCCTTCTTGAATGCCTGTGTACTGGAATCAGTCCGACTCTCCCATGGCGTTGTGACGCGGGATCCTCGACTCGCCCCTGATACGGAGCTGAAATATGGTGAATGGACCATCCCAAGAAATACGCCGGTCTCGATGACTACTGTTGACGTCTTGATGAACGCCGACTTATTTCCCGAACCGACGTCATTCATCCCGGAACGCTGGATGGAGAAGCCGGAGCTCCAGCGGTACTTTGTTGCATTTGGCAAAGGGTCACGACAATGTTTAGGCATCAAGTAAGCAAAGCTCTTCGTATAGACTAATCACATCTAACTGAATTATTAGCTTGGCGCTGGCGGAACTTCACATTGCGATCGCCCAAGTCTTTGCGCGGTTCGACTTTGAGCTGTTCGAGACAGAGGAATCAGACGTGCGAATGGCCCACTCATGGCTCGCCCCTTATCCGAAACTGGACTCAAAAGGTGTCAGAGTGAGAGTACGGGAATATAGCATTTAGTCGCCCGCAAGACCAAGTTGATCAAAACATTGAAAACGACGAATCCGAGCAGTGGTACAAGAGCAAGTCGAGGACGATGAGTTGTCACAAAGAGCAAGTAGTCTCGCGGTAATCGGAAGGAAAAGAGGATATATTTCCCATCCAATATTGACGACTGTTTCTACCGAAATCTCAGCATGCCAGGGTGAATATTAATTTCAACTGCTTTAGGAGATGTCAGAACCTACGCCATACTCTAATTCTCTGAGGTTTCCTGAGACAACTTACAAGGTAGCTCCTGAAGCATCAGAGCAGACAGCCTTTCCAGAAACTGCCACACACTGCCCCTGGCCATTGTCGAGAAGTCTTGTTCCGTTCGGGAGATTGGGATCAACATCTGTGCCAGCAAGGTCTTGAAGGGCTTTGCGGTCGGCTCTTTGTTGTTCTCTGCTCCCACCGCGTTGAGGAGCGGCAGCTGCGAGACCGAGAATGGCAGTAAGAACAAGAGGAATAGAGAGCTTCATTTTGACAAGTTCTAAAAATGGAAGAATACTGAAAAAACAGAATGTGAGATTGAAGAGAATCGGCCGGCCGAGAACTTAGAATAGGCTAGTATATCATACAGATGGAATGCACAAAGACAAGATCGAAAGCTTTCTGGTTGTTGAACGCTTATTTATACGAGAGCTGGCAGCTCCTGGAAAGAACCATCAGTATATGTGACTTTGTTTAAGATGGGATGGCATTCGGCTTTGGCCGATGTCATGAACTTGACAGGAGGCCCCTGCCTCTCCGCGGCCAAGTTGACTCCTGTCACAGACCCGAGACAACCCCACTGGTAACGCACCTTAACAGAGGTCGTATGACAAGTAAAACTCGGCTGCGAACCCCATTAGGCTTTGAAGTATTGTTCAAAAACCAAAATCAGCTGCGACGTTTTGTCACTGGCGAAATCCCCTCGCTCGCCTTATGATCGACGCTTCATGTTTGACGCCGTAGCGAGGAGTTTCACAGACGATCAATGATCTCCAGATAATCAGGCGGGGGATCAATTGAAGATACAACTTATAGAGTGGATTTTGGCATCTAGAACGTTTTGAATCCGGGGTAGCCTGATCTCTGGGCTCCTCTCTCCAATCGACATCCAATAATGTCGCAACATGGCCGTCGCGGATCCCCGAGAGCGTTCGTGTCTTTGCAAAGTGCCCAAACCCCATTGTCACAAGCCGGAAATGCCTGCTTTTCACCCGGAATTTAAATCTCTGGCAGAATCTCCGTAATGTTGCTCTTAGCCAGCTTGTCGGTCTCGTCCAAGACTTGAATCATTCGTTTCTTCGCAAGGGCATTGCGTTCTTCCTCAAGTTTGGCGTTGCCCATATGCTCCATGGCGATGTAAATGACGGATTCCATGAGGCGCATGGCCAAGGGGCCAGCCATTCCAACGTCATAGAATGCAGGCGTCTCGTTCACTTCTAAAAGCCACGCAGTGCCATCCGTGCCAATGAGGAAATCGACGGCGAAGAGCTCAAAACACTTATCCACCGTTGTGAACTTATCCGCCATGGTGTGGGCTGCACCACGAAATAGCTCAGCCGAGGTGTGACAAATCTGCTCAAAGACGCTTGCTTTCCAGTCACCAGGCAGCAAGTCGTCTGGAGCCGACCAGAAGTCTCTCATCGATTGCTTGTTTATAAAAACATCTTCGTCTTGAAGGGCAGTGTTGGTCAGAGATGACTTGAGACTGGGGTTCAGCCAAGGGGGCTCATAGTCCTCTCCGGCCAATAATGCGAGCATCTCCTTGAAGACGTAGACCTTGAGACGGCCCATTGCAAGGACGTAGGCTCGAGCATGCCATTTTCTCTTCTCCATTGGCGGGATGTGAACGATGTATCTTTGAGCCACGAACTCGCGCATCTGGGCCGAGGGAATTCTGCCTCCCTCTTTGAAGACATACTGCGGCTTCGGGGCTCTTTGAATCTCGTCCTTATGCTCCTTCAAGGCCAACTCTCCAGTTGCTGTTACGAGTGCGTCCAAGGTGTCGAGCCCAGGCGTCGACAGGGTTGGGTAAAAGCCTTCAGAGTTGTCGCGGGAGGTGTCATTTTCCGACTTGCCATTGGCTTCAAGCATGGCTTGGTAGCTGAGATCGCTCTCGTCGTCTTCGTCAATCTCGTATTCCGCGAGCTCGAGATGGCTGGCAAGCTCCTCCATCGTACTAAACAGTCGAATGCCAGCACCGCAGTCAACAAGTGCCGGTTTCAAGATCCACCACTCACGCTCTGAGGCTGGTTTGTCCTCGTTGTCTTCCAGTGAGGACAAAAGCGTGAGGTCGTCCGCCGCAGTCAAAGCATCGTCGACATATTCGGCATAGTCAAGAGACAACCGAACTGTCAACGGGACACACTTTTTGAGAATGCTTTCCGGTCTCTTGGCCGTCCAGAAGTCAACGACTCTGGCGAGATAGTCCTTCCGAGCAAGCGCATCGCTGTTCGGGTAAGCGTTGATCAGAGCCCTTTCAGCAGTGTTCAGAGCGGCGAAGTTGCGGTTGAGTGCCCACCCATCGCAGAACTGAAAGACTGTTGAAGCGTCCGAAGGAAAGTCGTCAAAGTCGTCGATGAAGATGGCATCGGGGACATGGTTTCGGATGAAAGACTTTATGTGTTCCCCCAGCCAAGGGGCTGCTGGCTGAATATAAACGTGCATTTCGTGAGAGAATGGCGTCGCAGCAAGGTTGACACTTTTCAACGAAAGTAGCTGTCTATCTCAGGTGGTAGTGATGCTTGCCGGGGAATTGTGTAATGGACGGCTCGAGATTCCATGTGACTGGCTGGCGATTTTGGTATTACAGGCAGCTCCCGAAGCTGCAAACAATAGTTGATCATCAGGGCAGAAGAGGCTTCGGTCTGAGACGGAGGAATCACCGAATAAATATAATTTGAGCGGTCACTCATCCAATTGTAAGCCCGGCTAGGGCGGTTTGATAATTGAGAGGATTGTTTGCTGTTGGAGTGGCCAAGATGTGTGCCAAGCTGAACTGCTGGATACCTATTACCTAACAAACCTGGAATCTTCACATTCATTATTTCCATTAGACATTTCTCACCAAATAAACGTAATTCATATCGAGAATACATCGAATGACATGACCACAATTTCGATCCCAACGCGATGACCTGCCATTCTGCTGACTTGATCCTTGAAGTTGTCGTTGCATTCAGACCCAGAAGATGCAGAATCCGATGCATCTGCGTGTTTGAAGCCCAGGAAGAAAATCAATTACGTTTTGATAACCAATTCGCGATCAAATAGATCAAATCACCGGCACCAACGATTAGAAGGAGCGTTAGGCTACCGTTCTCTCTTCATGCCCTATCGTTGCTTTTGCACGCAACGACAATACTTCCGAGGCTAGAGACCAGCATTTGCTGGATGGATAGAGAAATCCGAATCCGAGGCTAGAGATTGTCAGATTCATGAAAAATTTCCTCTTCTGCTCTATTGAAGGTAAAGCAGGGCGACTTTAGTGTTGAGCATTTGGCAAGGACTGGCGGCCAATAGTGTCGCATGCGAAAGTGGTTGCCAGATCTCTATGGGGAAGGCCGAGTGGGTTTCTCATGCGCAATCATGCGAATCGCATACTGTATGGCATGACGTGAATGAGATCAAGTAGTCACTCTCTGAGAGGTTTTGATGCCGCCAAACCTTCGCGTCCAGGACACCGAAATCGGGTTGGGATGTTCAATAGCGCGTCGTGACGGAAGAGCTGATGCCAGGGCAACGCTGCAGGCTGGATCAGGCAAAGTTGGGCGGATAGCTGCCAATCGGGCGTCTGCCATCGACTTAGGAGCCGGTATTTTGGCACAGACATGCGCTAGAAATTGGCCGATTGACAGGTCCCTCTGTTAAAGCTGTACAAGCTGCGGCCGCTTCACCGAGGTGAGACCAGCAGAGGCTTGGTGGGGCTATGGTGAGCCGTCACACCTGGGCAGGTGCCCGACTAACAGCGACCTGGGGATCCTTGACCGCTAACTTGCAAGGCAGTTGAGGCAGCTGCTGGGCTGATCCCTCCACCGCCGTTTCTCCCCACCATCAACACAACAAATGCGATTCCTGCAATCGGCGTCAATTCAATGCGACACGCGCCTGCTAAAACCACCCACCCCCCTTTTTTCTTCGACGACTTCGGCCAAGACAAGATTCAACTCTGATCCCACGAAACCGCCTTCACGCAGCAAAATGTCGTCATGGCGACTCTGCCGCCCAATTCTCTGCTTGCCCGATCCCGGCAACCGCGCGCCGTCCCGTCAGCAAAGGCTTCGGGCGCATCTGTGACCACCTCTGTAGCTCCGCCGCCCATTGCTACCTCCAATGTCAATCTGTTTCTCACCAATCTTCGTCTGCTCGACTTTCCTTCCTACCCTGATTGGCCCGACTTCGACGCCCAAACTTTCACGGTGCAGAAGAAGCGCATCCAGTGCGTAGAATGGACGCTTTACCAGCTCTTCGTGCTCTGGGACCCGGAAGAGGCGCGAAATGTACGTCCACAACCGCCCTCCTTTGAACCTTATTGACCCTCTGTGCTGCAGAAGCTTCAGCCCTTCTTCCCTCCTCGAGATCATGTCCAATCCTTGAATCTGCGTGCCGCCCTCTTACGAAGCCTCGAGCAGGCCAAAAAGACCGGAGTTCTTGGCCGCGATGCCGTCGTACGCAAGACAATGTTGGATGAGTGCAGGGGTGAACGGCTAGAAGAGGTCCTTGCTGTCTTTTCCTCGGCTGTTCTCAAAAAGATGGTTGCAGAAGTTGCCGAAGCTGAGGGAGAATACCCCGCTGTCGCTCAGCAACTGGCACTGGAAAATCGTGGATACAGCGCTGAACGCGCTGAGCTGGTGACACTGGCTCTTGCTCATAAGGTATCCATTAGGCATGCGATGCGAAGAAAGGATGAAGCGAGGCAACGATACCGTGGCCTCGCCGAGCTGCTGCATCTCAAGGAGCAGAACATTGCGCACCGGAAAGAGCAGATCAGGGCTGCACGAGAGCAGTCGAAACATAAAGACATCTCGGACGATGTGAAGCTGGATACCTGGAGAACGGTCCGCAACAACTGGGCTGGAAACGAACAGTGGATGGAGACCTTGCTTTATGGTGATGCAAATGCGCGAAAAGATGGCGTATTGACAGCACCTTTCGATCGAGTTTGGAGGCGTCTGCAGTCCGGTCGCCTTGCCGAGCTGGAAGACCACGGGAAAGGTCTGCTGGAGCAACTCGACGGCCGGGTGAAGACCCAAAAGGAGAGACTAGCGAAATGGCAGCATTTCCGACAAAACATGTTTGGCGACCAGCCACTAGCTCCCACTCCCTCGACGTCCCGCCCAGCAAAATCTAAACGAGGTATCGATCTCGGTTTCGACAAGCATGAGAGCCTCCGCCTTGGAAGAATGAGCCCAAGAAAGCAGCTTGCAAGAAGGACACCCCATTTGACCTCTGACTATGCAGATTTACTCGACGGATGCGAAAGGGATCTGGCCCAGGTGGGCGCTCAACCAGTGATCAACTTCACCGAAATGTTTGGGCCGCCACGATCCCATCGCCTAGGCCAACCAGAGCGGCCCGAAACAATTTCGGGCGCGAGGGAGAGTCTCGGGGAGGAAACAATATCCGAGCTGAGCGAGCTGGAGGACGATGGCCACGTTTTGCAACATGCTCCGCGGCGGCCCTCGACACACGATGTAGCACCGCCATCACGACGCCTTGGGCGACCGTCTCTCCAGCTCTCGGAAGAGGCCAAACGGCATGCCGAGTTACCGCGGCCGCTTCCAAGCCCTCCAGTGCTCCCCCCGGACACACACGACGAGCTATCTATACCCCCACCGACTCCGCCACTACCAGAGGAGGATGAACTCACCCAAAAGATTCCAAGCCGATCCCCCAGTCCTCTACCGCTAGCCGCGGAACAGCCAGTTATTTCTTTTGACAGTGAAGAAGACATACCTGAACCAGAACCCCCGAAATCACCCACACAAGAATTGGCAGACCAAATTCTTGACGACATAAACAACGCTTCTCCTTCTCCCGTCAAACGTCCGAAGCCTAGACATACGTTATCGCTTGCCGAACGAACCAGGCTGTCCATGGCGCGGTCTTCACGTGGGGTACGGTATGATCCGGACGATGACGAGGATGAAACCTTGTCCTTACGACCTCTATCAACACCCAGCAAACACAATGAAGACCTTACGATCAACATTACAGACGAAGACGATTTAATGTCTCGAACACGACGAAGCATGGCAGGTTTTGAGGCTGCCCGCCAGAAGGCACAGCTGGATCGACAAAGGTCACTGAAGAAATCTCGGGCGCGGGCAAGGACGGAAGGCAGCCAATTCCCTGCCGTTGAAGAGGAGACGATAGAATTGGACCCGGACGCGTCCATCCTCGCAGAAGAACTGATGGCCAGAGAGGATATGGAGGCGGTTTTTAGGAGTCGGCCAAGGATCAAGACCAGCCCAGCTCCCTCACCTTCGAGAAGACCTCTCGAGGCCGAAGATGTATAGTGACTTAGACATGTTTCATGACCCATACATAATACATTTGAGCTTCTGTATTGAGGAAGCTCTATGGTTGCTAAATGTTGTACACTCCAAGGCTGCTTGGGCAACTCCGTTTCTTCTCAACTCATGGGCCAGACCATTTTACAGCTTCCAAGATTTACCAGCCCTGGTTTGTCAGCTCCTGTACTCGACGCACTGTCGCGACGAAACCCTCCTTATATCGCTTTATCGATCTCTCCCTCCTAAGCCTCTTGCGTCTCATTCCTGGACGCTCATGAAACTTCTGCCCGTGCCAAAGGGACTTGATCCTGTTCCTCTTGGTTGAGACATCGAGGGCCTTCATTGCGGCGGAAAAGTCGCGGGAGCCGGTGACGTGGATTGTGCGGCCTGTTTGCGGGCGAGTTCGGAGCTCGATCTCTTGCTGACCAGCGGCGTGGTGCTTCATCATGAAGTCGTCGGAGTCCATGGCGATGAGTTGAGAGATATCGAAGTTTGAGGAAGCGGCATCGTACGCGAAAGGAGTGTGGGGCTTCTTTTTGGAGGCTGCTGTCGGGGAGGATGATGTCGAGGAGGCCGTCGTCGATGATTCGGGCTTCTCTGCGAGGGGGCCTTTCACACCGAACAGAGACTCGTTGTTGAACAAAGTGCGGGATGTCGAGAAAGTACGTGGCTGTAGCCATAGAGGCTGGCTGGCCAGCTGTGATGATCGTAGCGAAGTGTTGCGGAGGGAGCATGAGGTGAGCAGTCTCCTGCTCAAAAGCCCGATTTCGGACGCCCTGAAGAAGTAAGGATTAGTGAATGGTTGATCAATGACACGAGTCCGTGGCCCTACATGGCGATTAGACACTCTACCAAGCGGAAGAGCACACTGCTGGAGGCTGGCGTGGGTTGCGCAGAATGGCAAAATGTCACCACCGGCGAGCTCGACCGCGAAGATTTCCTCGAAAATGCGAAAGTTGCTGAGGTACGTACCGGACCTCCCGCAGTGCCCGCCGCTCGGACAGGAGCTCACTCGGATAAGCGTGTCGCCGTACTCCCGCCCACCCCCATATATTGAACCAATCAGAGACCAGTCGCGAGACCAAGCCTGCTTCGCGTTGGCCTCGCGCCGAATTTTGAATGTTCGACCCAGAGCTTCTGGAGCTCAAGTCGTCAGTGTCGTCCTCGTCTTCGTTTCCGTGCTCGACCTGACCCCCCCTTCCGCCTTCACCATACTCTGCGCCTGCCGCCCGATCTTACGGATAGATCAAATCCTAGCAATCTCTACCTGCAGCCGGCTTCGATCGCGACACGAGGTAGCAGCGACTATTACCACACCCTCGAATTACTTGCGGATTGCGGATTGACACACCGACCGAGCGACATTCAATTAGCAACCACTCGCATTGCTTCGTCATGTCGTACAACCCGTACGGAGGTATGCATTCGTAGCTCTCGGATTCACAATTGCACTCACTCAATCTCTCAGCAGGAAACCCTTACGGGCCTCCCCCGAGCTATGGCGGCTTCCCGGGATCCAATGCCGCGCCTGGCATGGCTCCTCCACCTGGTCTAGGTTTGGGATACCAAGCTGCGCCATCGAGTTCCTACGCTGACCGATATTCAGGCCCTCCGCCAGGCATGTCTTCCGCTCCGGGAATGGCACCACCTCCCGGTGTCCAGCAATCCAACAACGCACAAGCTAACCGACAAAGCGGCCTGCCGCCTAACTTCCAAGCTCCCGCGAACCTCCCCAACATCAACTTCAGCGCACCCGTCATCCGTCTGGGAACCATAGGCGCTAAGCCAGGTGCCCCTGAATCGGGAAGGAAGGACAGCAATACCCCAAGCGGTGGAAGACAAGGACTTGGTATGGACCGTGGCTTTGACCAGTCAAGAGCCGCTGCTCGAGAGCACATGCAATCGCTCGTCCCTCCGACCAGCGAAGAGAAGTTGCGCACATTATTTGTTCACAAGATTCCAGACGGAGTTGGTGGCGACGAAGGTATCGAGAGAATCTTGAATGCTGTTGGCAAGCTCCGGAGATGGGATGCCGCAACATCAGTTCTGTCTGATGGAAAAGGCGCCAAATTTGGCTTTGCTCAATACGAAGACGCCGACTCCTTTTCGACGGCCGCCGATCTTTTGCAGGACACCGAAGTTCCTCTCAAACGCCAGAGCCCAGCGGAAGCGCCATCTGCAGATGATGACAAGTTCGAAGGAGTCGAAATGGTAAAGCTCCAGGTTACGGTCGACCCTAACTCTCTGAAGTACATCGAATCCTACAAAGAGGGCAGAGGTGATGATGGCGGTGCCGATTCAAGGACCCAGGCCGCGAAAGACGCCCTGCGGCACGTAATTCGAGACCTCGTTTACCCAAAGACCGCAACGAACATTGATGGCGAAGGTGATGTTGCTATGGGCAACTCCGGTGAAAACGTCGAGGTTGTCAATATTCCTCTAGCTCAAGATGACGAACTCGCAGACATTCCCGCTGAGATGCGGGAGGTTGTCGCCGCAGAGATCGCTGCGTTCCGAGAGCGTAGCAACAAGCGGGACATGGAGCGTCTGAAGCGCGAAGAGGAGATGGAAGAGATGGAACGAAACCGCAATGGCCCTTCCCGTCCATCCAGGCTGGACTCACCACCTCCATCCAACTCGAATAACATTCCTGTTGGACCCCGTGGTGTCCCCAATGCTCCTTCTGGCCCCAGGGGCCAGAATGGCACCCGGACAACGTCTTTCGTCAACGGTGGCATCTCCAACACCGAGTTCTCAATTAACCGCGAGGACGAGGACACGGACGCTGATGACGAAGAACTGTATCAGCGAGAACTGTCTAAGCAAAAATCCGAAGACGAAAAAATGTATCTCGAAGCCGAACGCAAGTGGGTCAACAGAGAGCGGTCTAGAGCTGCAGCTCTGGAGCGTGAAAAGGAGCGCGAGCTCCAAGAAGAGGAGAGCTTGGAGAGGCGGGTGCAGGAGCAACTCGAAAGAGAGAAAGCTTGGGATGACGAGAGAGAAGCGTCTCGGAAGAACCATCTTTACTACCGTGATCATGCTGCATGGGTCAAAAAACGGCAGATCGAGAGAGCCGACGAACAGGCAAGAGACGAGGCGGATCGGAAAGCGGAGGAGGACGAGCAACGCAGAGAGGCTGCCGATATGGAGAAGGCGCGTGGTATTGCCGACTCATTCCTTGATCAGCAGGCCCAGGAGATGGAGCAACGCCAGCAAGCTACTGTTTCCGCTCCTGCGCCCTTCAAGTTGTCTCTTGGCGCTGCTGCTCAACGTTCTCAAGCCCAGCGTGCCGCACCGCAGCGGCGCACTGTTGCTGAAGTGGAAGGCCTCCTCGATGATGAAGAGCAAGACAGCACGGCCAAGAGGCAGCTGATTCCCATCCAGTTTGAACCCACTACTGCGGCGGATAAGATGACAGAGGAAGAGATCAGCAAGGCGGTTCGTGCACTCGCACAGGAGATCCCGTCCGAGAAGGAGGGATTGTGGAATTGGGCGGTGCAGTGGGATTACTTGGACGATGCGATCATCCGCGAGAAGCTTCGACCGTTTGTCGAGAAGAAGATTGTCGAGTATCTCGGCGTCCAGGAAGAGCTTTTGGTCGAGGTGGTGGAGGAGCATCTACGGAAGCACGCCAAACCTTCAGATCTGGTCGAAGAGCTTGTCCCAGTACGTGCATTAACCCCGTATTTCCAGAATATTTGAGCTAACTTGACCAATAGGCTTTGGATGATGAGGCGGAGGATATGGTCAAGAAGCTGTGGCGTATGGTCATCTTCTTCACGGAGAGCGAGAAACGGGGATACCCAGCATAGTGTAGGCAAGCCTGGCATGATGTATTATACCAACTTTTGGGGGGCAGCATGAAACAGAATCGGTCCTGCTTCTCTACTCTTGGGCAGACTCGGCAATGATAAGGCGTGTCGACCTCTGAAACTAAAAGTGAGCGAAGATACTGTGGCTGCGCATCCCTCATTTGCAGAGATCATGGAGCTTACTCTGCCCATCCAGATGCATGTTTTTCTCGCCGCTGGATCAACAGCAGTCGAGGCCAGTTTTCTTCGTATGGAGACAAGATAGGGCAACTGAGTATGTATCCTTTACCAACACCGCCAGTGACGAGTGCAGATACTTACCAGTACACTGTGAGTTTGTAATGCTTGCTCGCACTTCGTTTCGATTGTTGCTGCTCACTTTTCATCCCGTAGCGACGAATTGATCTCAAGGGTGCAATCAAAGACCAAACCGCCTCGACCGTTGGGCTGTTGTCAATGGTGCGGATGTCTCCCTCGGCTCCATTCGGAGTAGGCGACGGAAGCGAGAGATTCGTATCACGGTATCGTGGGGGAGCCATTCCATAGCGGGTCTTTGGCAGGTTAGCCTGGAGATCACTCAGCCCACGAAGCAGGGGTTGGTTCTTCTCCTCGGCTCACGGCACTGGCAGAAAGCTTCGCATCCATTATCCGTTACTCAATGATGTCACAAGGTGAAGACATGGGGTTATCAGCTCAGCCGAGTGCATCAATTAGTGCAACAAGCGTGATTTCGAAATGCCTTGCGCTGCGGTCTTTTGCTTTCGTCGCAAGGCCCTTAGGATGAACGGACATTTCGTCCGACAAGATGAGTGTTCTGTCTTTTCTAAGTTTCTCTCTCTTGTCAGAAATCCATACACCGGGATCGTCGCTCTTAATGCATCCTACGAATAATATCCGTCGATGGATACAGTGGACTGTGGGACCGCCCCTTTGAGTCGTGTTGGGTCGCTTCATTTCACTTTAGTTTCGTCTATCATCATGTCTACCACGGTTGATCCCGACTCTTTTCTGGCTCACGAACCATGCCGAGCGTTCCCAAGATCTCCCAAGGCTTTTGGCTGGCCAATTGCGATTGAGTCGGAATCAGTCTCAGCCCACTCCGCACCAAAGTATGGTGTGCGCTAGTCACCGCCCAAGTCTTCCCCAAGACCCCAAGAGTCCCCAAGACACCCCGAAAAAGCAGTGGCCCCACCGGCCCAAGCATCCGATACGAGGTCAATTGGTGTTGCTGACTGCCTTGACCCTGGTTGAAGCCATACACAAGTGTCAGAATAGACGGCTTCGGGGTAGGCGGGATTCAATTGCCGTGGGAGGCCCAGCCTCGTATAATTAGCTTTTCCTGCCAATCCTTCCACTTGCCATGCCGCCATGCCGCCAAGGGGAGCTTCCCTGTTGTCGCGAACCATTCCTTTGGGCTGAAAATGTGAGATAAAGCTCGCCGCCCGCATATGCTGTCGCACCAGAGTGCGCTGTTTGTCGTGCTGAAGAACCTCGGAGAAGCAATATGACCACCCCGCCGTGACGAACATGTTCATCCCATCGCTGAGACGTGCCGTTGCCGTCTCATTGACGTGCGCCATCTTCGTCACTATCCTCTTGATAAGCCACCAATTGAGTTGGGAACAAGACATCTTCGGCTCGTCTTATCTTGCGGGGAACGAGAGCCAACACACTCCTGCCGCGAAGTCGCAAGAGCGCAGCTCGAAATTTGCATACGCGCAATATGCGACGGACTTGGATTATCTATGCAACGCTGTATGCTTTCACCATGTACTCTTATGAGCGCAACCAGAGCTGACGATGCTAGGTCATCAACTTCAATCGCCTTCAGAAATTCGGCGCCGAAAATGACATGGTCTTGATTTTCCCCTCTTCATGGACGGAAGGGAAGAAGGCGGAGGCCAAAGCAATTCGTAGCATTCGTTCCAACCATCCCCGAGTCATTTTGAGGCCATTCGACTACGTCCGGATCTCCAAAACGAAAGCGAGCGCAACATGGGCCGACAGTCTCAACAAGTTTCATGCCTTCGACCTTACCGAGTACGAGCGAGTCATGATATTCGACTCTGACAGCCAAGTACTGAACAACATGGACTCTTTCTTTCAATCGCCCAGGGCCAGCGTGGCTGTCCCCCAGGCATACTGGTTGAACGAGCCCGATGTGCCTGCAGCTGAACGGGTGCTCAGCTCTCATGTCATGCTTATCGAGCCGAACAAGACAACACACGACAGACTCGTCGAAGAATCGCTGTCGTCCGGAAAGCTCGACATGGATTTGGTGAATATCATGTTTAAGGATACGGCAAGCATACTGCCTCACCGTCGACTGGCCCTCCTGACGGGAGAGTTTCGCGATGATGACCATCAGAAGTACCTTGGCCAGCACGATGACAACTGGGATCCGGTGGAAGAGGTGTCGAAGTCTTACCTGGTGCATTTCAGCGACTGGCCAATGCCAAAGCCTTGGAGACCGCGCACGAAGAAACAGTGGGAGGCTGCTCTCCCCGGTTGTCCAGAGAATGAAGACACAATTAATCATCCGCAATGCGCCAACCAAGTCGTGTGGAGTGGGTTCTACGAGGACTATGATTCCGACAGAAAGCGATACTGCAAGCGCTGGGGATGAACGAGTTCGGAATAACTCGGTGAACGAGTATATTCATACACTGTCCAGCCTACGGCATGCCCCCACGAGACCGGCATATTCCGTTGTAGCTTGCAAGCCGCCGCATCGACGACCTACGCCAGAGAAACGGGTACTCCGCCCCGGAGGATGTGCGCACAGCGTATTGCATTCGTCAATCATGCTGTGTGTTTATGGATCACAGCCTCTTGTATGGCATATAGGTAATATTCTTCCTGCCACTTGTTGCTCCGACGAATGCCTGTGGGCAACAACAACGTCTGTGCATCGGGTCTGATTGTATCAGAAAAAATCCGAACAACGAGCGCGCACGTTGGGGGGATATTGATCGACGCAGCCCTCTATGAGGCCCAAGGGCAAGGGGCAGAGACCCAGCCGAATGGATTAACTGCTTCGTGGGGGGGTTTGCAGCGAGTGTCGTAGCCATGCCGGCATTTGTGTATGTTGCGGATATCGCTCTTGGCCTTGAGTGGCTCGGCGGGAAGGCGGTATTAGAAGTACACTCAGCGCTGAATACTAATTAATTAAGCTAAGATGAGGCCTCTAGCTTGACTGATTGACTGATTTTTTGCCTGAATCTTGCTTAATTTAACTGTCTTAATTTAATCTTAATAAAATTACTTATTTAGGAAGTTAGTAAAGCTTTTATAATATATTAATAGGCTAGAAACTTATATTATATAGTATTTTAATATTATTTTACCTTTTATTAACTTTTTTTTTAAAGTAATACTTATTAATAGTAATACTACTACTTTAAACCTAATTCTAAAAGTACTATATCTCTTTAAGTAGTAATAGTTTTATTAATAACCTCTATAATATTAGTATTAATTTAGTAAAGCTAAATACCTTCTTATAGTTAGTTACTATTATTAAGATAGTAAAGATATTAAAAGTAAACTTATTAAATATTAAGAAAGTCTATTAATATAAAATCTACTATTAAATAAGATTATTAATAAGCTAAGTAACTAAAAGGGTAAAATACTTCTCTAACTTATTAACTTTATTAATAATAATATTATAAAAGCTACTATCTAACTATTAACTATAATTAGAGTTTTTAAGCTTTAGAAATATTATAATTAATATAAATAGCTTTTATAGAAGCTCTTAATAAGCTAATTTATTAGTATAAATAGCTATCTTAATATATTATTACTCTTAATACTTTTAAAAACCTTCTTTAGTAGTTTAAAGCTACTTATAAGTCTCTTAAATATTCTAATACTTTTTAAGCTATTATAGACCTCTATTAAAATATAATATTATAATAATAATATAGAGAAGAGACTTTCTAAGCTTTTTATAATAATTATTAAGTACTTATTAGCTATTAATAATTAATAAGTATATAAATATATAAGAAGTAAAGTTAATAGCTTAAAAAGAGTATAGTAATATAGTAATATATTTAAACTATAAATAAGTAGGGATATTATTAATTAATAAAGTCTATAAAATTAACGCTTAGCTAGATTAATATAATACCTTTATTAATTAAGATTACTATAATAAGAGATTTTAAGATACTTATAAAGCTATAAGATTAATCTCTTCTTAAGTAGAAGTATTATAAAGCTTACGCTAATCCTTAAATTAATCTAAGAAATACTTAAAGCTTATTAAGATCTCCTAAAATTAACTATACTTATTACTTTTACTTTAGCTTTTATATTACTTAGTCTATAAGTAAAGAAGCTTAAGTATCTTATTTAACTTAGTAAGGACTTATTAATCCTTATTAGTTAGGATATCCTTATTAAAGATATAATTATCCTTATTCTTAAGCTTTAAAGAGTAGTATATATAACTAGTAATCTAGCTATATTTAAGTAAAATATAATAGATTATATTATATATTAAGTTCTATTAAGTAGTATTACTTAATATTAAATTTAGCTCTTATAATAACTCCTCTTATAAAGTAAAAGTATACTTATTATTATTAGCTTTATTACTAATAAATAAAAAGGCCTCTAAACGTTATAGTAATAATTTAATATACTTAATAATATTCTAAAGCTTACTAATAGGTTTTTTAGTTCTCTAATAAGCTAAGTCCTCTTAGATCCTATTAATATTAATAAGATAGTTAAACTTTTATTTAAATACCTCCTTATTAACTTTATAAATAATAGCATAACTAATAAGGTTGAGAATATAACTATAGTATTAAATTTAATAATACTAAGTATCTATTTCTATATATAAATATAAAATAGATAGATATAAAGCTTTAATATAAATACTATTAGTATTAGTATTATTAAAAACTATAATACTAATCTTATTAAGTAGGTGCTAATCTCTTATAACTATATATATTATAATAGTAATATTCTTATTAGAA